TTTCGAAAGACTTCAGTTTAATTTTGTCACTATACTATACAAGCATATGTGTCATCAGCATTATATACGAATCACATAACACGGATTAATTTTGAAAGACACACACTTGAGAAAGATTTAAAAGTACACTTTGGTTGATTTTCACTGTATGGTACCCCTTGGTTTTTGTCTGAAAAAATCGCCAAGTGGTATTGGTTGTTTGTGAAATCTGGAAGCCCGCTGCATGAAATAGGTTTTTCGGTAACCCTAATGTTGATAATGTCAGCGAAACTAGTCTTAGGGAAAACTTTGTTTTTTTAGTTTTATACATTAAAAAGGGGTTACTTCTGCAAATATCGCCCAAACGTATTGTGATAAATTTAGATTTTGGCTATTTTTTATAATAGTAATCCTTTCGTATGGACACAAGTTTTTGGTTCTTACCATTCTTTTCAATTGCTGTGTTTGGTCGAACGTGTTTGGTATGGTTTTGGATTTTGAACTTGCTATTATTTTGCTGTGGGTACCATCATTTCAGGATGTTTGAGGTAGAAAAGAGGATGAATGTTCATTAACAGCGGATGAGCTGAAACGATGAAAAATTAAACTGAATTGCTTACGTGGAGGAAAGAGAAGGTGGTAACCGTGAACATATGCATGTGAAAAAAGGCATGTTAACAAATTGATGTTTCATTTATTTATTTGTCTCTGTGTGTTAATTTTTTTAAAAAAGATTTGTTATTTAATGTTTTTAATTTTAGGAAATTTGTGTTTTTGGTTATTTATTCCTCCGTGTTCGTGTATTTTTGGTTATTTGTTCGTCTCTGTGTTAAGACAGACAGGAATTTTTTTGTTTAACTTAATAGTTTTAACTTCGTTTTAGCTTCATGATTTTGTTTAAGTAAAAATAGATTAATGTGTACATGGACAAAGTTAAGACAGTGCACAATGCCTATTTTGTGCAATTCTCTGATGTTTTTTTAAAGTTAACATAGGTCAATGTGTACATGGAAACCCAGTTTGTGTAAGTCTGACTTCTTGTTTTTATTTTGTGTAGTGGGCGGAAGGATTGGCCCCATCTTGAAATCGGTGCCGATCCTTCCTGTTGCTGATCTTGGCGTCAAAAAAGAAACGATTTGCCAATGTATACCATAGAGTAAATTTTAACCGTACACTATTTGTAAAATAAAATGAAGAAATAACTAAATTAAGGTGACTTAGTAGATATAATAAACTATGGTTAGAATTTTACATAGCTTTTGCTTCACATATATACAGTACAAAGTCTGAAATGCGGACGTCCAATATCCGGAATGATCTAAAATCCAGACCACCGTTTTTCTCGTAGGCTTTACGCATGTACATTTGATCCCTCACTGCACACATAATAAAGCATCTGGAGAGTCTCGATTCTTAATTTCACTTAGACACTAAATAAAATACCTTATTATTGAAGAAACAATCATTTTAGCATAAATTTGTACAATCAGTAATTTGACTCCATTACTGCGTATCTGCTCGGCACATATCTCAAATTAAAAAATTCCACATAGATACATCATTAATTTTACGCCAACCTGGTGAATCATTATTTATTATACTTTCCTTTCATCACCGCATGTTTATCAAACATGACAACTTGAGTAATGACTCATGTAGCGATACCTAAGCAATTTTTTTATGCTAGTAATTTAATAATAAAGGGGTATGGTAACCTTTTATGCTGACGATGATTACAGATTTAAGTTTAATGCACTAAAAAGTGTTGACAAGGAAAAATTTACCAAAAATTTCTTTTTATATCTAAAAGTAGATTTTGTTGATGATATTCATAGACCTAAAGTTTACATTTAGGGCTATTTGAATTAAGAATAACTGATTTGTTATTCACATAAACCCAGAAACAGCGCCATGGATCGTACGGCTGCACTAAGTCGCAGAATTTAGGACCCACAGAGACTGCATCAGGTGGTAAGATATCTAGTGCCTGCCCTCAATAAGGCTTAAGTATATGTGGGAATTTATTTATTCCAAACACTGATAAGCCTTAAGCATGTAAGAAAAAAATAGACATAAGTATGATAAATAACTAATACAATTCAGGCTTGTCTCAGTATGCAATAGAAGCAAGATAAAATTTAACAGAACAACTTGTCGTTAGTCGCCAAGCTCACGATGCATAGCCAAATATGTATAGTGAAGGATAGCTAAATTTGATGATGATAGCCACTAATTTTAAAGGTTTTTGGATAATGCAAAACCAAGGTGAAATTTTCCAATTAACGGATTTTTTAAAGAAATTTGGAGAAGTGGTAATAAATGAAGATGATATAAAAGAAGTTTTTCATTGTGATGACAATGCTTCTTAATCATCAATCAAATTATGAATGACGAAATCCACAGTATGGTTCTAAATTCAGAAATACCGTTACCGATAGTGAAGAAAGTGACAGAGAAGTTACTGAAAACGAGAAAATTTCAATTGACAAGTTAGAATTCTTGAAACAGCAGTTACAGGACTTCAACAATGTTACTAAGCAAGTGATTATGTCTGTCTACTGAATTAAATAGAAAGTTTTAGCACAAAAATACAAAGCAACTTAAACAACTTGCACTGAAGGAAATGTTTAATAAGGTAAACAAATAAATATTAAGCTTTTTTTTGTAAATTTTGATACCCTTTAGATCATAAATGCTTCATTATTTCATAAATCACAATTTTATAATTTTTACATGCCATCTTACTTGATTTAAACTGATGATCTAATATCCAGAATCGCAGATGTTCCAACGAGTCCAGATTTCTGACTTTGTATTGTGCTTACATTTTAGTTAGGCACCTTTTAAAACCATAATGAATACCAGATAACATCACATTTCTATTAATTTATTTAGATGTTTTCTGTTATCTGTTCAATGTATAGGTTTCCTGATAGCTTATGGATACCTTACATTCTGACAAATTTTATATGTTCAGGTAATACAGACACGTGAAAAAGTATCACATTTTTTAAAAAGACAAGCAAGAATTATTATACAACTATAAATTACTTACAGTTAAATTATCTTTCTTTTCCTTCTGCTTCTTCTGATTAAATCGTTGTAAAAATTCCGACAGTAACCTTTCTTTTTCTGAACATACTTTCACAGCTATAGAGAAATTGTTCTGATAAGTAGTAATTGAAGTATTTGATTTACCATCGCAGGCAACAATAATATTTTGAGAAGAAAGCTGTGGGGGTGGATATGCTGTACTCAGAAAAGAAGGACGTGGTGCAGTTAATATGTTGGTGTTAGAACAAAAGTTTTGTTGAGAATTATATGCTGTACCAACCTGCGCTTTGTTTTCGAATGGCATTGGTGGTGGAGGTATTTCACAATTTGGAAGCATTGGTGGTGGTGGCATAGATGGACTATAAAAAAATCTCATAGGCTGCTGAGGGCCAAAGTTATTAGGAATATTATTTAAAAACCTATTAAAATTATTTACTTGATTTAAGGGTATTGGAGGAACAGCATTATCTATTTGAGGGGTTCTAACAGCAAACGGTGGTCTGCAAGTAGTTTGAATATGCGAAATAGTAAATTGTTCTTGAGGTTGTGTTCTTGAAACTGAAATTACAGGTGAAGATTGCCAGTTACTAGTTTCTTTCATATTTGCTTCAGAATGACAAAAAGGCACTTTTCCATTGCCCATTTCTCTATTTACATTTCTGTCACAAGTTTCTGGATTTAAGATATTTGGTTGATTGCCTGGAGGTAAACCATTATAATTACATAAACTTTGTGGAGTATGACCAGGCAACTGAGGCATACTTCTGGATGCATAGCTTTTATGGTCATTCACGGGAACATATGAAGAAGTGGAATTAACAGATTGTGAAACATTTGTAAAATTATTTTGTAGTTGTGAGAAATTTGACTTTGGAAAACTGGAGAAAGATGGCTGCATTTGATGCATATTAAATGCCTGAGGATCTCCAGGTCCGTAAGTAAGTGGCATGGAGTTATTTCCAATATTAGACAAAACCTGAGAAGGCATTTCAAATGGATTGGCAGTACTAATGTTGTTTGAAGGAACGGCAGATTTCATTTGTGTTTTCTGATTGAAAAAAGGCATTGATAAATTCGATCCTGAGGAGATATATTGGGGTGGATACATAACGGAGTTAGACAGTTTGTGAGTTTCAATAGATGCACCACTCTGGCCACTAAAATGAAATGATTCTACTGCACATTTCGAAGTATTGTCAACACGCCATTCATTATCAGTAATATTACTCTGAGTTCTATATTCAGTCATTTTTTACTATTAAGAACAAATACTATCTAAAATATTAGCATAGATTTCCATACTTTGCCATGATTTCTCAATCAATCATTTTCTATCGCAATCAGATCACGGTTCTTGAATTTCCTAAATAAAAAATGAAGGTAAAAACGAAAAATTTTCACAAGCAATATTATAATGCAGATTTTAACGGAGCATTAGTAAGATCTTTCCATTTTTAATTTCTAGTTCATCTAAACGACATACCTAAACACAATTTCGACTTAAGCTTACGTTTTTCTGCCAGTTAGACAGAAAGGCTATTCGCTTGCAAACAAATAAGAAACGATAGGTAGCTGAAATTTTGGGGATATGAATGACACATGAGTGTTTTATTCAGTTAGAACTGCAAAATTGTAAATATCTAAATTGAATAACGTAAAATCATGGAGTATAAGCACTCCGTGCGCAAAAGTTACAATGCATAGTAAATTCTAATGCATGACTTCAAAAGTATTTAAATGTAAAATCATGCAGAGATATCACTGAAACCGATCCTGTTTTAATCTCTCAGAAAAGATTTAATGGTATTTCACGTATATTTTTAAAGACTTTCAGATTCAAATATTTGTTTTAAAATATTAATTTATTTTAGAAACAACAATTTTTCCACCTTCGTTTTTAAATTATCAACATTTCAGAATATTTCTACAGTTAATGCGTCATGGCAATCAATCCGCTCGATCACGTGATGTAAACAAACGCGGCTGAGTCGTTTAAAGGGATAACTTACTTCCACATTGTAACATTTCCACGAAGAGCTGTCGAATTCGTTAGTGGTTTTGGAGTATAAGTGAACACGATACTTTCAGAATTATTTGCATATTTCGCTAGTAACTTTAAAGCTTAATATGGCTTCAATCGTAGATATTGACGAATGTTACAATGTGGCTGTTAAGCTTGCTCTAGAAGCTGGGGAGGTAAGAATGCTATCAATTACGTTATTTAGTGATTAATTTATATTTATGTTATGTAATGAACTCGTATCGTATTATTTGCGGGTAAAGTGCAGAATCGCCCACTTATTTGTTTGGCGCTTTTTACAAGAGTAAGAAGAACTGGATATTTGTCAATTTTCTTTGACTTTTTAAGTGAAAATAGGTCGATGTGGGCATGGATAATGTCAAGGAAGTGCGCAATGCCATTTTTGTGCAATTCTAGGCTGTTATTTTAAGTGAAAATAGGTCGATGTGCACATGGATACCGAGTATGTGCAATTCTTAAAAAAGCGCTAAGCAGTGGGTGATTCTGCACTTTCCCCTTATTTAATATGAAAAATGCATTTCATGGTTTGGAAATTCGTCGTTAATTTGTGCTTCTTTTGTAATAGCAGTTCTAACTTAAAAGAATCGATCTGAATTTCATAGCTTTTAGAATTTTAAATTGTAGATTATCATGAAACTATATAGCTTAATTTTATATATAGTTTAACATGTAAACTAAGGCAATTAAATAATTTTTCACTTAGCCTTAATTTGGCTAATCTTTGGAATATGGTAACAGGTAGTGTGGCGACATTTTGGTAAGGAACATTTTGGTTTAATTTGCTAGGACTTTAGCAAATTTTTACATCGAAAAGAAACATCTAAGCATTTTTTTTTTTTTGAAGATATGTTTATATTCTTCAATTTACTTTCTTTCTTATTAGGTATTGCATATCACATTTATATATATCTATATATCTAAAGCTGCCTTATGCTCAGTCCTTTTTTTTTTTTTTTTTTTTTTTTTTTTTTTTTTTTTTTTTTTTTTTTTTTTTTTTTTTTTTTTTTTTTTTTTTTTTTAGAACATCTTTAGAATCATTTTAGATGTGTTACTGCCTAATATTTGAGTTAATATTCTACTATAAAACAAATAGAATGATGATTGGTTGGATTCTCATAAACTAATTAGCTTAATATCATCTTAATTCCATAATCATTAGACTTCTTTCGAAGAATTCTTGTAAAACTAGAGTTCTGTCCAGAATATAAGAAAAACTTTAAAAAGAAATTGTATTAACTAATTATCGATTCCCACAGTTAATGTAACCAATTATTTTTCAAAATTTCATACCTAAAGTGAATATTTTTAATACTTCTAAATAAAATTAATTTATAGGTAAATCTGGTACCAGCTGTGAAGATTGTTTTTTTTCTAGTATGATGTTAAAATGTATTTGAATATTGAGTTTAGCCATGCTATTTGTTGGCTGCTAATTTTTCTTAAATTTAATACTGGATAAAAGTATAGTGTAGGGTACCCCTTGGTGAAACTTGGCGGTACATGGATACCGATTTTGTGCAATTCTTTGACTCGTTATTTTGGCTTGCGAAGCGGCAATGTTTGTGCCAAACCTCGCCGCTACTCAAAGCCAAAATAACAAGACAAACAATTGCACAAACTCAGTATCCATGTACACATTGACTTATTTTCACTTAAAAAAAAAAAAAAAAAAATCCCCGAATTGCACAAAAATGGCATTGCACACTCCTTTGACTTTATCCATGTACACATCGATATATTTTCACTTAAAAAGTCAAAGGAGCACCAAATTCTACAATATAGGCAAACAAAAAATGCATAATCTCAGTAAAATACATTTTATACCAAACAATAAAATAACATAAAAAACGAAAAACATGTTATACATTTAAGCACTACCAAAAAGCAAATATTCGACTTACCATGATTTTCGAAGTTCACTTCATCTTTAGTCTGTGGCACCCAAAATTCCATTAACAGCATCAAAAAATCAATCATATCTGAAATGACTTTTTCAATCTAGGTACTCTTTCTTATTGAACGTCTGCCACATAGTGAACCATCTGAACCTTTTCTTCCTACAAACCCATTCAAATCCATTTAAACGGTTTTTACGTTCGACTAAACGCATATCCTTCCTGCATACAGAACACTTATAATAGCTACTAAGTAAACCTTCATTTACAAACCAGTCAATTACTGCTCTTTTCCCCTTTCGTTCCAAATCTTACAGAAACTTCAAATTAGTTTTACTACATTCAGCCATTCTACCGTCTAAACAATAAAACCGACCTGCACCACAAAAGCGCTTACAAAGCCTCCCATGATTCAAAATTTCCCAGAATCATGCACCCGATTACGTCACAATAAAAGGTTTCTATAACATTCAACTACTCAGGCTACCATAAATGAAACAACAACTTGGCGATAAATCAAACAACAATTTTGCCATAATACAAGGGGTACCTTAAAGTCTACTCTACCCTATTACTGTTTATTTTAAACAGCCAGCCAGTGTCCTTTTATAATTTTTTGCAGTTTTATCTTAATATGTAATTAGTTTTCTGTGTTGGAATTTATATTTGGGTTATTGATTTCCAATTAAATAAATTATAAAAGTATTAATTATGGCAATTAATCCATGTAAATTAAGAATTTGTATTAGCTGAGTTTATAGTTATTTATATGGAACATTTATGAAATATATTAATACTGCTTTCTGTTATATAGGGATGCTTTTATCTGTAATTTCTTTGAGTTATTTGTGTATTATAGAAAGGATTCTTTATCAGTACTTTGATGGATACTAGAATTTATCTTAATGTTATCACAGTTTTTATATATGTTCTTTAATCTGTTGTGTTTAAAATATATGATTTTATTTGATAGATTATTAGAAATGCTATTTACAAAACAAAAAAGGTGGAAACAAAAATCAGTAATGTGGATTTAGTTACTGAGACTGATAAACTTGTAGAAGAAGTTTTGAAAAAGGGCTTTAAAGCCCATTTTCCTGACCACAGGTAATTTTTTTTTTTTTTTTTTTTTTTTTTTTTTATAATTTGAAGATGAAGTAATATATTTAAAGTATGACACATTTTTCCTGATTTGATGTAGCATTTTAAGCAGTGAATTTTAAATATAAAAAACAACTTTATGTTAGTAAAGCACCATATTAGTTAAATACATATAAATAAGATTGGTTGCATTATGAAAGAAAGATAAGAAGAAATATTTGGAAATCCTCTTGTGTACTTTTGACAAGCAATCTTTCATGATAAGTAACTCTGATTGTTTAGAGTTTTGTCAACTTAGATTTGAAACTTTAAAAAAAATATATTAATTCATGGCTTTTGTCACAGTGGGCATAAACACTGACAGGAAATTGCATGTGTGATGTTTATTCACTGATGAAATCTGATCCTTTATACTTTTGTAAACTGTTTATAATATCTGTGAATTAATTATATTTGTTTTATATAAATGCTATGTTTCAATAATAGACAAAAGGTGAAATAAAATAATTAATTGTATTCACTATTAGATTGAAAATAATCTTAAAAACATAGAGAGTTTTTAAACATCAACAGTTTGAAAAATATTATGCTACATTAACAAAAAGAAAAGGTAAAAAAGCAATTTTATGTTAGTAAAGCACCATATTAATTTGAGCACTCACTAGGATGAAAACTGATTTAATATCTTCTTGGTGGTTCGGTAAAACCATCGAAACTAGTCCTTTGAAAATTTTGTAAATATAATGCTGATTTTTATTGTTTTACTTCTGAATTAGTATCCTCTCATTAGTTTGGAAATTTTGTAACAGTGCAAGTAACAGAAGGGCCACTATAATGAGTAGTCATTTAATTATATAAACTTGGATTACATTGTTATTTTTTATTTTGTTGTGGGGGGGGAATTTTTATTTTAAATAAGTTTTTTGAAATTATTCTATTTTGTATTTTAAAAAAATGTTATTAGAGTAAGAAACACTGAACTAATCCTTTAAGTGCACAAATAAGCCTATCTTGCCTTTCTTGTCTATAATGATTTAAAAAGCATTGTGATTTTTGAAATCACCAATTATACAATTATAGATAACCGAGTATGATATGTTGTTTGATAATGAGATGATAAAAGTAGAAACTTGGTTTTGGTTGATTTCATATTTATATATTATAAAATGTTAGAACTAAGTAATAATTAAAAAGATGATTTAATTTGTAGGTGAGTATACTTTGAAGTTCATACTGACTTAAAATATCACACTGTATCTTCTGCATTATATATGAAATGAAGTTTTTCAGTACTTTCTGACTATCCACACAACTATAGACAGAAAAGTTTCAAAAATGTGTTCATGAGGCAAAGCAGTGTAGGTTATCAAAATAGTTATGTGCCAACCCATGGCATGAGGGAAAAGTACTTTAGTGGCAATCCAAGTTAGCATGTAGCACATGTCTGTTTCGGCCAGTACACAATGTTGAGGTTATACAAATGCCAAATTTGTGCAATTGTCTGACATTTTTTAAATGAGAACAGATCGCTCTGTGCATGGTAGAACAATAATACAAAAAAAGGATTTCTTGAAAAAGGATAAGTGTTTTATTATTGATGTTTCTTGCTGTTTAAAATCTGATTGATTTATTTCTCTTGTATGGAATTATCAGTGTGCCACCATTTTAAAAATGGCTGTTGTCTTTTGTGCATCAGCTAGATAAAATTGGTTGCCAATGGGTTTGCAAATGCTGTTCAAAGCTTTTAATGAGTTTGTAATTTTTTAGTGGTAGTGCAGATAATCAGAAAGTACCATATTGGGTAACATATTATTTCTTAAGGTAAAGTGAAAGATTAATTTAAACATTTGTAATGTTTAAAAATGATTCAACAAATGAATTTTTGTTTTTATTAAAGAATTAGATTTCTTCTTATAGCTTATGAATTTGATAAAGTGATGATGCATATGTTGCAGGGTGGGGGGAAGTATCTTTCTTTTTACTTACATTGATAACTTTTCACCTACTTGTTTAAAACTTTCATTTAGGAACCTTGATATATTTGTAAACAAATTGTAATATTTGATTCATATTTTTCAATTCCTTATCTGTCTAATAAGCACAATGTCATTTTCTCACAATGAAGATATACTTTTTAGATGAAGATGTACTTAAAGAAATTTAAAGTTTTATAGGTGAGGAAACCACTGGCTGTGATTTTACAGATGCTCCTACATGGATAATTGATCCTGTTGATGGAACAATGAATTTTGTTCATGGGTAAGTTTTCTAACAACTGCTCTTCTTTCATAATAAATATAAGCTATTGAAATAACAATGCCTAATAAATTATTAATGCTAGAGTTATATTATTGTTTAAACTTTCTTATAGTTTCCCATACACAGCAGTATCAATTGGTTTTACTGTAAAAAAAAATGTGAGTAAATTATTTTGTATATAAATATGTATGTACCTTTTGGTGAAATAGCATTAGATTTACTATTTTTTGGATGTAGGTAGTTTATACATTAAAAAAATTCAATCCATGAATTTTGATTTTATGTCAGAGAAAAAGATTTACAAATATAGGACCATAATGATAAAGTTTTGGAAGATATTTTGCTTCCGTGAAGATAAATACAAAACAATGAATAAAATGTAGATTTTTCATTAAGCTATTCTATGTCTTTATTTTAGTATTTGCAATTTCAGTTTTGATATTGAATGATTTTCAGCTTAAGAATCAGTTATAGATATTGCAATATTTGAATTTTTCCTCTTATTAAATTTTTTTAATTAGAAGAGAGCTTTTTATAAATCACATTTCAATTTTTTTCTGGTTTATATTAATTTCTTTGGCTGAAATCAAGCTGGATGCACCAGAAAGGGCTTCCAACTAACATTTAGCTTTTCTGCAATTCAGAGCTAAAAACATAAAGCAAAATATACTGATTCATTGATAAATTATTTTTAATACATGCATTATTTTTAGGTAGTTTTGGGAGTTATTTATAATCCAGTCCTTGATAAAATATATTCTGCTATCAAAGGAAAAGGCTCATTTTGTAATGGAAAAAAGCTTCATGTTTCTGGGACCACTGGTAATTATTAAATTAAATTCATATTTGAAAATATTTTTCTAAAAATGTTTCAAGTTCAGAACTGTTTTATGATATATATTATTTTTGTTCTATTAAATTATAATAATAATTTTGTTTCATATAAAATAAATAGATAATTTGCCTTTAAATGCTTTTATATGCAATGCCTTTGGAAAATTTCATAAATAATGATTTAGTAGATATAGATGACTGAATGAAAATGAATATTTTGATAACCTTAATGTGTTTGTTTATGTGCATATATAGATATGTAGCTCACTTTGATTTGGCTTTTATTGCCACTTGACATCTTGATTTTTTGGACATTAATTTTTAAAAATTCTTAGAGATATTCTTTTTAATTATAAAAGCTTCCTTATAAGTAAGTTAAGGAAGTAAGAAATAATCAAAGTTAATTTTTGCTCCATTTATTAAACTTCTGCTGAATGGACAGCTTTAAGGATTTTTCATGATAAGCTGTGTTTGAAAGACATTTATTGACTAGATTTGTATAATTATTTATTTTATGCTTTGTTTTCATAACAATCTCTTCATTAAGATGGTAGTTAAATCTCTAATTAAATCTAAGGAAAATTAATCTAATCTCCAAAATTAAATCTAAGGAAAATAATGAAAAACAAGATATTTTAAATAATGAGGTAATACTACATACTAAGTTACAAGGAATCTCATTACCTGCTGGAGATAGTTATGTCCTTGAGAAAGTTAGCTATTTATTTTTGGATAAACATAATCAGCTAGTGTTTATTGAGTTATTGTTTATTTTTTAACTTGATACTGAAATGTTGAAATATAGAAATTTTTCTGATACAGATATGCTTAGATTCACATTTGTTTAAAAAATAGTTTAATATTTAGCACATTATTCAAGAGCAATACCTTGAGAAATGATTTGATATGAGATAGTTTCATTAATATTACTGAGTATTATTTTTTAAAGAATTGTAAAAGAGTTATTATTTGGAAAAATTAATTCAACTTGAATTTGAATTAAACTTGAAGTAAATGTATGAGCATTACATGCATCTCTTAAAGGTTATTTAGAATTCATCTTCAGTTTTTAAATTTTTCTTATTCTCTGTTCATATAGAATTATCAAGTACACTATTAATCAATGAACTTGGTGGTTGTAGAGATCCTGAAGTTATGCAGCAAATTTTCACAAACTTTACAAATATGGCTTTAAAAGTTCATGGGTAACAGTTTTAATTTATTTTTGAATATTTATATGACAACTTTGTTATGTAATTTTTTCTGTATATTATATTTAATTCAGTTTACGAAAATATTTTAGTTTTATTCTGATTTATGTTTCATGCAAATTAAATACTAGTTTAATCATTTATATTTTTCAAAATTTTTAATTTTTTCATATATATATAATTACAAAACAATTTTGTTAAAGCATAATAAAATCATACCTACTATTTTTACACATTAAGCTGCTGAAGCATTATCAGTAAAAACATAATGTAAGAAATTTAGAATTAAGTTTTCACTAAGATAAAAAATTTTAATTCATAAGTATCAATTGATTTCAATGTTTTTCCTCCTGATGAAGTGCCATTGAAGTTGATTGAATTCCTCTTCTATTATGTTCTTTCTTCTTTAAATTTCATTGATTTTTTTGAATGGGGTATTGCTTGTTTGAAGTGTTTTGGTTTTAACATTTATTAAATTCTTTTTTGCATTTATAGGATTATTTGAAATTTATTACTTGTGAATTTCAATTTTTGGTCTTTGTGAAAGTTGTAAATTAGTTCTAAATTTCTTACTTTATATACTATATGTATAATTTATTTCAGTATAGTTTTTAAGAATGCTTTCAAATAAATATTTTTTCAATGTTCCTCAAAATTTGCTTTATAGAAATAGTAAATTACTGTGACATGCTATTAGTGTTATCTGAATGTGTTAAGTTTTTTACTATGGATTAAGGTATATTTAAAATAAGATTTTTAAAAATAAAAGTTGGAATATAATTCATTAATTGTAGAAATACATATGAATGTGATTTCTGATGTTAAACAGACTGCGTGCATGGCTGTTGTTATTAATGTCATCAAAATATTAGTTTCATAAAAAAACTTACATTTCTGAATTTATATTCTTACATTTTATCTGTGCATATTATTATAACAAAATGTTTTATTTTTTAAAATGATACAGTTTTCTGTTAAATTAGTTTGATTAACATTTAATGTGCCAAGATTTTCAACAGGGTTGGGTTTCGTATGGCAGAAACATGTTTCTTTCAGGACAACAAAAGAAACTGAGACTGGGAGGAGGGAATCAGAAGAAAAGAAAAGAAATGGAAGAAACTAGAAGAAATGAGTAATGATGCATCCATGGTGCTACAAAAGGGAATAAATTTACTAAATGTAGCTTAATATAATTGAAAATAACTGCTTTATTATTCTGCAATAAAATGCAAAATAATTAATTAATTTTCTCCAAAACATTCTATGAAAAGTGTGGTAGAATTCTTATTGATTTGTCCTTAAGAACTCTTTGTGAATATGAACACAGCAACTCCGAGGTACTCTAGCCCTTCAGGTGATCACCATCTTGGTGAGATGGCGGTTCAGTATTGTGGGGTGGCAGAATCGGTGCTATGCATTCTGCTGCTTTTTACTTAAATTCTTCTGGAGAATACCTTTTTAAATGCTAAACATTTAGCTGCTTCTAATTCTGTTGCTTAGTGCTTTGTCTAAACTTAAAAATTTCGTCATCCCTAATTTTTGCTGGTTCGTGCTTCTGTAAATTCTAAAATTTTGCACCGGTTGCACTAGCTCTGGTATTGGTGGGGAATATAGCATTTTTCTATCTGACCTGAACACTGCAGCTGTTGCCCCTGCTATGATGCCAGTCCTTTGGGAGGTTAGCATTTTTTTAAAAATCTAAATTAAACAATAATTAGAAGCCCCAATATTACCATGTTTGCATGTCATCTGGCTAGATTTAAACTGATGCTCTAATATCTGGAATCGCCAAAGTCCGGATGATTCTGAATTTCAGACTTTGTTCTGTATTTATCAAAAAGGGTTATTGCAGTCATATAAATAAAGCTAGTTAAAAGAAAATGAAAACATTTAAATTAGTTATACAATAGTATGACATATGAATAAGAGATAGCTATAATAATGTAAATAAAAATTTTTTTGTTCAAATAGTTTCTTCCATTTACCTATTTCTTCTGACCAGCTTTTTCCTTCCCCCTCTTTTTTTCATCCTCCCTGGTGTGGAAGAAATTTGCATACCTTGGTCTTCAATGTATCCAAAAAACAGAGAACAGAGTTTACTTGCTAAAAAAGAACAAAAATCTGTTATTAAAATGCATACAATGCCTTATAATTTAAACATTTCTTTATTCATGTATTTGACTTTTATGATATTTGACATATAATTCTTACATTAGTAACTCACTTTTTATTAATTAATATTTCAATTTTATGTATTATCATTTAATGTAAATACAATTTAATAAGAACCTGTTTTTAATGCCAAGAAATGTCAAGATTGTGAATAATTCCAGATTAATGCTTTCGTAAATGTGTATAGATGATACATTACAGTGATGCGAGACTGCTATTCAAAATATTCTCTGTAAAAATCTGTCATGTGTGCAATGTTTCTGTGAAAATATGCCCTTGAATAAATTTTCAAGCAATAAATGGTGAAGTTTATAAATTTTCTGTTTCATGTAATAAGTAAAACTCTTCTTTAAAATATTATTTATGTCATGCTCTCGTGAAAAAAATAATGTAAAGGATAAGTTGTAATTGAATTTTTTTTTAATTTTTATTTTGTTTTTGTGTAGAATAAGAATGATGGGATCTGCTGCATTGAATATGTGTGCTGTAGCTAGCGGTCATGCAGATGCTTATTATGAGTACTCTCTTCACTGCTGGGATATGGCTGCAGGAAAAATTATTGTAGAAGAAGCAGGTGGTGTTGTAATTGATCCAGAAGGTAACACATTGAAAATAATCTTAATATATCCACCATCATATGAATGTAAACCAGGAAATAATATTATATAATTAACATTTTACATTAAACATTTTAATAGTATTCTAAAAGGATTTTATTTGAAAGCCTTAAATATTTTAAACTTCCTCTAATTGACTGAATTTTATATGTGCAGTAGTTGTTTTATATTTATTCTGTAAAGGTAGGCAGATTTAAATTTCTCTTTTTTTTTTTTTCTGCTTAGTTTTACAGTTTAGAATTCAGAAATTTTCCTTCTCAAATTTTAATGATATTTATTACACAAAACAATAGCAAAGTCAAGGTTATTTCTTTTTTAAGTTTTCGTTATCCATATCTAGAGCAAAAGCACATAGAATCTAAAGAAATCATATAGGGAAATGTATACAAAATAAATGGTGTGATATTCCAGGAAGTCTTTGTTGAATTATTAAGGGAAAAGTTATTGTAATTAAATACAAATGATATGAATAATTTAGGTATTCCAACAGTTTCACATTTTAAAATGTGGGATAATGCAGTTTTAGGGTTGTCATAAAATGGCAAGGGAAGGCAGGGTTGCCACATTTGGCAAGAAATCGCCAATTTGGTGATAAAATTGGCACTATACTATGGACGGTTTGAGAACCTTCTGGAACGAATTCTTACCGGTTTAGCCCAGAATGTTCCCGAACACCAGTCAAAAGCTATATAAACCCTGCTGGTACACGGAGAGTTAGTTACGAGCGTGTGTTAGATTGCGAGTTAGTCAGTATCGAGTCCTGCGGAGTCGATCGAGTTGACAGCCGGCCAGCGAGTTCTGAGTGGGTCGTCGAGTGCACCGAAGGAGTCTGTTAGAGTATCGTGGTTAGTGCATCATCGAGAGAGTGTGTTGGGCTCCGGGAATGACTGAACCGAAGAGTCGGCAGCTGTGCTCGTGTGTCATCGAGTACATCGCGAGTTGTAGCGTGGAGAGTCTCGAGAGTACATGGAGTTCCGAGAACGACCAAGCAGAGTCGAGAGCTGTACTCCGGAAAGCAGAGTCATGTGCTTTGCAAGAAACTGTCTCCACCATGATAGTCTGATAACTTGAAGGCTGTGTCGCTGATCGTGTCAGCGTGTTTATAGGAGTTCATCGACGACTGTAAAACTTCTTTTGGAGCTGTCCTGACAATACTGGCTAATAAAGTGTGTTTCGATACTTCATCAAGTAGTGTCATCATTATTCACTCCAAATCCATACGAACCCCGTACGAACATGAAGGAAGAAAATAACGCAACAACTGGTGTCAGAAGAAAAGAAAAACGCAACTATATGATACTTAATATAATAACATAAAATATAACTGATCTCTAGAGACTATTAATATTAACCTTTTAACTGTCAAGTTATTTTGATGATTTGGATGCATAAATTGTCAACTTTTTTTTTTATTCCAAAAATGAAATGTTTGCCTTGCAATCAAATAATCAAAAGAATGCCACGCACTTTGAACTTTAACCTCTATCCTTTGAAACCTTCAGTAAAATGCTGCCATCTGTTGAAATGAAGCTGAAATAAACTTTTCACGATATATATTCGGCTATAATAATACGATGCACTCAAAAAAAAATTAGCTCAAGTAATATTTGAGCATGACATTTTGGAATACCAGTGCTGTGCCCGAGATTATTTCGGGCATGACAGTTAAAAGGTTAATTCCCTGGAGGATGAGGAAACTTAAAAGGGGGTCAATGATGATTAAGGGGTTGACTGGGAATTGTAGTGATCACCGCACTACAATGCGTGAGAGGCGCGCGCCGGATGAAGACAAAGGACAAGTATTGACATGACTCAAGAGAGGAGAAGCAGACAGGTGTCGGAGTTCACTGACACTCTGGATATGATATTTGGAGGCATGCTGTTAAAAGCTTCTATTGTTACGATTTAAGAAATGTTATGATATTTCTAGGAGTCAATAGGCAAATATGCACCAACAGTTGATCGGCATAATCAAGATCTCATTGATTACAAAAAATATTAATAAAACTGATCATTAATTAATTGTTCATTGATGTAAAGCTACATCATACAGTGTCTTAACAGATAAGTATGGTAAGTTTTGGAAGCTAAAAATAATCTGAAAATAAATTTGTTACCCAACTAACATTATTAACTTTTCTCTGTTCTTACCTAGAGGATGCAAGCTTTAGTCAAATCAGTAATTCTCTGCAGACAACAAGAAACACATCGAATATTTTTGAGCAAAGAGAATTAAGTTAAACTGTTTTATGCCAAAAAAAATGTATTAATACATCTGGAGCAGTAATCACATTAATTAAAATCAAATTTTTGAGCACTGAGAATTCTTGTAAAATTAAAAAGTAATAATATAAAAAACAATAAAACACAAAATTGACACAAACCTTTTTCTTTTTAAAAATCTTTATTCATATTCTTAGTCTAATTGTTATTTTTAAGCTATTTATGTGCAATTATTTTTAATATGATTGTGTTGTGTTTTATAGAAAATCATTTTTTTAGAAGAGGTGTAGGGTTATTAGGGGGTTTATATATATATATATATATATATATATGCTGGAGAAGGGAAAAATGAGCAATGCTCTTGCTGGGACTCTAACCTGGACCTCTCGAATATGCACTGAGTGTGCTACCGTTACACCATGATGGCATGCAGAAAGGAGGAAAAAAATACTTTATATACTGCATCAGATAAAGGGCGACTTGGATTAGGGGATCCAATCGCCAAATCCTGGTGGTGAAGAATCATGATTCACCACCTTTTTAGTTCGGGCACCACTGTGGAGTCATTAGGCCATTTTGATGCTGGAGATGTGAAACATGAGCAATGCCTTTGCTGGGACTCTAACCTGGACCTCTAGAATACGCGCCAAGTGCGCTACCATTGCACCATGATGGCTTGCAGAAAGGAGGCTGAAAATATTTTATAGGGTTTGTTTCAAGAGAAAGCATGGGAATCCTTGCTATAAACTAAAACAAATTGTTAAAATCATCATTGAGTTATGCAAATGTTTCTTTTGCAGTAAAGGAGGACATATGCAAAGGCTGTAAATGAAATATATTTTCATTTACAGCCTTTGCAAATTTTTTTCATTGTAATACAGGAAAAACAAATGCTGATTCTAATTTTAAAAACTTCGATTTATTATGGTAAGGTGCCTTAATAAGAGCATATCTGAAAGAGCAGATGGGTTTTCTGATTATGCAGATCTAGTGTAAAGGGTTTAACCCATTAACCGCCAAAACTACAAGGAATGTTTCTTTTTTCATGAAAATAATAACAAATATTAAATTAAGCATTTATAACATAAATTCACATTGAAAATTAAAAAAATGCTCTTACCTGTGGAAAATATGAGTGTTGCGTTCGCGCAACGTCAGCGGAATAAGACTACGGATGTTTAGTGAGTAGGATTGTACTCGTGTCATGTTTCTTTTGAGTGGAGCGCAGGATTACTTTTTAGTTGTATAACGTTTTATAAATCTACAAATCACTTTACTTGTAATTAATTTAATATTGAAATATGCATTGTATTTCTTTTACAAATAGATTATTTCAGTTGAACGATTCAAGCATGAAAAGCTTGATTACAATCATGATGTAAAGCTGCGTTACATACTTTGCATGTATAAACAGTCTGGCTATGGTACTCTTTACAACAAAGTCTTTTGTTAATCAACGGACTTACGATAAAATGTCTACCATCTCCATGCAGTGGTTTTTGAATGCTGAATTTACTGTAAGACTTTCTGTTGCTGATCTATTTCTGGCTGATTCTACACTCTCAATAGGAGTTTGCAAAAGGAATAAGGCATTCTCACATCTGAAATCTAAAAGAGACTTTATATTTCCAGTAGTAAAAAGTGGTGATATTTAGTAAGTTTACATACGGTCTCACCTCATATAATTTATCAGTATTGTCAATTTGACTATTGTCAAATGCAAATTCTGCTTCATATTCCTGTAATGCAAATGTGATATCGATTCTCGTACAACAGGAACAAAAATGTCCTTATCAAAAAACCAATAAAATTTTTTCTTGAGGTAAAGAATGATATCCTGTATGCAATAATATTTCGAAAAAATCTTCTCATATAGGCTTCAAATGCAATAAATTCTGGGCGCATTTTTTTTTTTTTTTTCTTTTCTGCACTGAGCGTATATATTTGTCTGTTCAACGAGAAGAGAGTCAATGTCTAAACCAAAACGAAAACCTGTGCACTAGTTTTACCTTGTATTTTGTCTTTTATAATTTCTCTTCTATCTCTTTTTTTATATTCTTCTGCTACAAAATTGACAAAGTAGATGGACAGAGGCAGAGGTAGGATGAAGGACATTTCGCTTATTGCCAAAAGTTAACATGGAAATAAAGACCCACTGTGCTAGCCTAACACAGTTCTTGACAGGTCATGGACCATTCCCAGCATACCTGAAAACAGATTCAGACTTAGGGATACTCCTTTCTGCGAATGCGGAGAGGAAGGCGACACGGAGCATTATTACTTCCATTGTGTACATACAAGAACCTGCCACTTGAAGAAACCAGCGGATTGTGCCTGGGCAATGTGGACGACTAACACACTCAAAAACAGAATAGCCTTGATAAAATAGAGAAAATCTCAGGACACTGCCTAAGCAGAAACAACCGTGGATAATATTATAATGTTTCAAAAGTTCAGAACTTAAAGCAGATAACCAGAATAACGCTTAGTGCCTTGCAGTTAACAATATGTAAAAACTGTTATTAGTATATAATATTCAACCTTGTTACTCTGGAGTCTTCCCCGCCGTGATGGTATATAATTCCATTTGGTTCATGTCCGTGGTCAGAAGCCATCATAGCGGTGCACTCACTCACTCACTCATGAGACATAACTAACTAACGGTTCCTTTTTTATCCACTTCAAGAATTCAGTCTTCTGCTTTTTAAACTTTTTAGTATGACTATAACTGCTTTTAGAAGGTTGAAACTTACTTCTT